GTGAGATTTGAGCCGCTGACCTGCTGATCTAGCAGTAGCCTGCAGTGCTGCATTTAACCACTGCGCCACCTTGGCTCTTATAGCAACATATAAAAAGTTTCATCAATTAATATAGCCCAAGACACATGCATAATTTGATTAATTAGAATACACATTCCTATGTTTACTTAACTTTGTACCTTAAAGCAACTGTTGGCAGTAGTAGAAAAGACATTAATAAAATTACTTCTCAGTTATTTTGTTACTAATTTTGCTATCAATCTTAAACAGCATTGATAGTTTCATAACTAATTTTAACTATTTTTATTCAGGTTTGATTTTAATGTGAGAGATTAATCAAAGGAAGGAAATAAAAAACTTACAGTGAGGGTGGCAATCCACTCCACAATGCTTTCACACCTTCTCTTTGAACAATTTTTGCAAAAGCATCCTAAAAAAAGGAAAAAGAGTGATATGTTGGGTTGTAGATTTCTTGAACTATCTACCAAACACTATGTATTTAATAGTTTAATAAAATATTGTTTTTTAAAAAACTGGCATACTGTAGGTGTGTAGGTGTCTGACCATTCCCAAACTCACACTCTCACACCCAAACAAACACACTTAATTTTGTGTCGTTTGAAAAGAGACCTGGACATTCTAGGCTCAAAGGCAATGTCTGGCCCTTTGGTTGTCCCTATCTGACCCATAGGGGCAGGGGCCAGAGCAGCAACAGCCCTATTGTTTGGCCCTCCACAACAGTCCCTGTTTGAGAGGCTGAACACACTCATCACACTTGCTAATTTAAATAGGACCTGCATGTTCTTTTGTGAATACCTCTTTCAGTGTTGATCTGAGAAATGCTAATATGAAGTATGAAGAATTTATCTATAAAGATATTATACCTAGAAAAATGTTACTTTATATAAAATATATATTCATATCTATGTATTGATCTTTAAAGGTAAAAATAATCAAACTTCATTCCTTCTTAAATCAAGAAACATTTCTATCAAATCATGCAAAATTGAACTAAGAAGATGTAATAAACCAATGTCCCTAATGTTTTGGGTATCAGGGACCAGTTCCATGGAGTGGGATTTCCTGCAGACCAGGGGGGGCATGTTTTTGCCTGCTGCCTGCATTCCTACAAATGGGGCTTTGCTTCTTTGCACAACCCAGTTTCTGGCATGCTGCAGACCAGTGCTGTCCACAGACCGGGGATTGGAGACCTCTGCAATAAACCACAATGAGCTAAACGCTTTCCACCAAGACCAGAAACTTTTATTTGAATGGAATTGTGAATTTCAAGGGCACAAAAAGGCCCTCAGTAATCTATGATACTAAGAGCACTTTATAACTGTATTTACATTTGTGTGCCCATGTAGTTTCCTTGCACATTTTTGAAGCTGATAGCCATTGCCTGTTTTCCTACGGCTGAGAAAAAGTGATTGTCTGCAAGGACACCCAACTACTTCCTTGTCTAAGGTATGATTATAACATACCACGAAAAAATAAACTGGCCTGCTATATGACATGGTGAATGATTAAATTACTACATGGATTTGGGTTTGCACAACATGATAACCTTCAATGTTATTGGCTAGATTGTCATATGAACAAATCTCAAGTATCATGTATACATAGCCTACTTTTACAATAAGTTAAGTGACAAGAATTAATTAATCAAGCATATTTTTTAATTTTCTTACTTTCTATCATATTAATCTTCTCATTCGCAATTGTTGGAAAATGGTGTACCAAGTATCTTTATGTATTTACATAAAATGTAAATACAATGGGAAAATTTAATTTTAAATTATCATACTGTAATGAATTGTATTTCTCCTGAGCTTAAAATGCTATGAAATTATCTAATTTAATTTCAAAATTTAAATTGGTCAGACAACCTTTGAAGAGTTAAAAGTTAATACTAGTGGAAATGAATATGCATTTTCTTACCAACATGCCAGTAAAACGGGCAGATGTCTTATTCCAGGTTTTGCCAGTTCCATTTTCATAAAGATAAATGTGATCGGTCAATCCATCAGAATCCAAAAAAGACTTTCCTGATAAAAAAGTAAACAAGAAATCTTTTCTCCTAAGTGTTGCAAAGGGGTTGATGAAACACAGCATAAACTGGAGGACTACAGTATATACTTATCTATATATAAAGTTTGTACAATATCCTTAATGTTACATGGGAGTGTCCTAGGTAAAAGTAATGGTGTAATCTTAATCTCATGCATTCATTTTATATAATTAAAAAAGATGACTTAACAATTTCTTTTTTTCCAAAGAATTTTTATTTTTTTATTCTCTTACATACCATTTAAAGTATACATTCACATAACTGTTATTGTTCTTTACATTTATCATTATTCTTATACATTTATTATTTCATTTAATGTTATAATGTAAAATTTGGGTTGCTTTATTTACCATCCCTTTCTCCTTTTGTAACACTTCCTTGTTTTCCCTTTCTTTTCTCCCTCCCTCTACTTCCTTCCTTCCTCCTCTCCTTCTCCTCCCTTTTTCCCTTACCTTTCTCCTACTCCTACTCCTGCTCTTTCCCTTCCTACCCTCTCACCTTCTCTTCCTCTCCCTTCCATCCTTACCTCTTTCTTATTTCCCTCATCTTCCTTTCATTCTCTTCTCCCCTTTCTCTTTCTTTTTCTATTATTGTTGGTGTATATTATGTTTCCTTGGGATGGAATTTCCGTCAACCCAAATATATTTTAGTATCATTTCTTATTCCCTTACCTTCACTAATTTATTTTGGTTATATTTTCCTCCCTTTATATCTCGTTCTTGAATATATACTTATATATTTAATATTTTCTTTTCTGTTTTTCCCTCCTCCCCTTTCCATTTAATAGTGTGTCATCTGGGTACTTTATCTTCTCCCTACTTTCTGTTCTAGTTTGCTTTCTCTAGCCAGTCATAAAATCTTCCCCATGTCTTGAAGTACTCCAATTCCTCTTTATCCTTTATTTTCATTTTCAACCTATTCATCTCTGCACAATCTAATATCTTTTTTATTATCTCTTCGTCTGTTGGTAGCTTATTTAACTTTCCATTTTGGGCAAATACAATTCTCGCTGCTGTAGTTACATATATAATCAAATGGGTACCTTCTTTCTTGAATTTCTCTGGGATAATACTTAGTAAAAACATCTCTGGTCTAAATTCTATTTCTTGTAACATTTTCTTTAACCATACTTTTATTTTAGTCCAATATTTCCTAGCTTCTGCACATGTCCACCACATGTGGTAGTATAAACCTATTGCTTGTTAATATTTCCAACATTTCACTGACTTGTCGTTAAACATCTTAGATAGTTTTCCGGGTGACATGTGCCATCTGTCAAATATTTTATATAAGTTTTCTTTGTAAGCTGTTGACATGGTTAATTTATAATTCCTTTCCCATAGTTGTTGCCACTTTTCTAGTTCAATCGTATGGCCAAAATTCTTTGCACAAGTTAACATTGTATCTTTTACCACTTCTTCTTCTAGCATAGTTCTTAATAGGTAGCTATATAGTTCCTTGATTATTCTTTTTTCCGTTCTCATAAGTATCTTATCCAAACTTCCTAAGTTAAAACCATACTCCCTTTTATCTTTTTCATATCTTGATTGTATTTTCAATTGTGAAAACCAACCTATATCAATCCCTTGTTCTTCTAATTCTTGTTTTTGTTTCCCCCCTTCTATTAAAATATTATTAGATATCTTTGTATCTAATAATATTTTTCATACTATTAATATTTGGATGTGTCAATGCTTCCATTGTTGAAAGCCACTTTGGTATTTCTAAATAATGTTTCCCTTTCACTCTTTCCCATATTGTTAATAATCCATTCCTTACATAATGTCTTTGAAAATAGCCATGTGCCTTACTTTTACCATACCACAAAAAAGCATGTCAACTCAGTTGCAAATCATGGCCCTCTAATGTTAATAATCTTGTATTTCTCAATAAGATCCATTATTTCATCCATGTTAGTACCGCTGCTTGATAATAAAATT